TATTATAGAATAATGATAAATGAGATTAAAATTTAGAATCAATAACGTGGTATAAGTCACGTAATTTAAAAGATAATAATTGGTATACATTTCGTTTCAATATACTGTGCAATACATTTATTAAAAAATTATTATCTTTTAGTATGAAATTAAAGATAGACAAATTTAAAGAAACAATTATGCACATAAGGTGTAAAAACCAACTGAATCGATTATATTTATATTATATTTTTAATGACTGAATTAAAAGTATATCAAAAAATATATTGAATTAAAAGTATATCAAAAAATATATTGAACCGATAGTATACAAATCATTTTCTAATTTAAAATATTAAAAGATGAATTTTATATTATTTAATGATTTTTTTATTTTTTAAAGGTTTTTTTTTTTACCATTTTTCATTAAAATTAATTATTTACTTTAGTAAATTTTAATTTTTTAATGATTAAAATTAATAAATTTAAATAAAAAATTAAAAATTAATATATTTATTTAAAAATTAATAAAATTAATATTTTTTAAATAAAAACTATAAAATTAATATCTTTATTTACTCATTTTCTTCCACTTATATAGTAATTGATTTCAAGATTAAGTGATTAATTAAGGATAATGGAGAGAGAAGTTTAAGAGATTTTAATTGAAGGGGACCAAGTAAAAATGGTAACAGAGTTGCTCACACTTGGCGTTTCTAGAATGTTAACACGCGGCTTTGTTAAATGGACAAATGCGTGGGGTGCTGCGAGTGCACAAGCATGATTTCAAGTTCAACACAATTTATTGGGGCTTCGACAACACTTCCATCCAGCCTGAAACTAAGTAGGCCATGGCCAGCCCCTCTCAAATTAATTAACCCTACGTTCTATTATCATAACACACTAGGCCTACCCTATCTCTCAACTACAATGCATGTTATTTAAAAAAATATATATTATAATTATAATATTACGTAATATTATGAATTTGTTATATAATAAATTTTTTTATATTTATTTTTTATATTAATTTTTTTACTATTTAAAAGAATTTTAACAAATTTAAAATTAAGTTACATTAGATTTTATAATAAATTTTTTTATATTTAAAATATTTAAAATTTTATTTTTTTTTGGTCATCTCAACATTTTCTCTCTCTCTCTATAATAACCATAGCCGTTACAAACTAGTACCTTTCGAGAAATAAGACAAAGACAACCAGGTCCTTGACGTCCACGTTATCCC